CATCGGAATGGACTTAGAACCGGTTGAAGCGGGCCAGGACGTGGTCGAGAGAGTCAAGAAGCGTGCCTGGAGCTGTCAATGTCGCATCGCGGCTTTACTGGATCGTTTCCTGCAAGATGATATTGGATGCGTTGTGGTCGGGCTGCGGTGCCGCATGGTAGGAAACAAACAATCAACGATGGAGGTCGCAATGCCGGTGGGGCGCCGCCGCAAGGTGGGGCAGCGCCTTCACGTGGTACTGGGCATTGCCACGGTGGAGACCATCGCGGTCAACTCACAACCAACCAGGCTTGTGCTCGTTCCAGGTTCCAGTTTCGGCCACCCACAATGCCTTTTTAACCAGCACCCTATCAAAACATTGCCGTGGCGTCAAAGCCTTTGACCACAAATTTTCCAACTCTCGTCTGGCTACATTCAAGACACCGTCCGCGTCAAGGAAAGCACTGGAGGGAGACAGTTGTCTCGAGGGGTTTCGTGCTTGTTTTTCCTGCGAGCACCGGTCCCAAAACAGTTGTAAAGGAAATGGTTTGCCAGCGCATTGTCGCACATTCGCCCCATCACGTGGTCTCCTGGAGGACGTTGAGGGCTCGGTGGACAGCCCCTCGGTCTGCTGCACTACTCCTCGCTAGTCGTCATGGACCCTCTGCCGCACGATTTTCCTGTCGTGGGGGGCATGTGGCTATGCTTCAAGCAAATGCCTGGACGTCGCATTTTTTAACTTGTTCAATGTTCACTGGTGGACCGAAAGCGTAATGGATTTGTCCAGCTTTTGGTGCGAAGGTACGTTTGCTTGGCTGTCGTCATGGCGATCTGCTCGTTTGCGACATCGGCGTGAGGGGTGCGAAGCACAGGATCGCGCGCTGCACGAGCATGCCGCCGCTGGCACGATTGGGGAAGGGGATTGCATATGCAGATCCCTGGCAGAATTTCCCGCCGTTTCTGGCCGAGAATGCGAACCACTGCAAATTGCATTCGATTGCGTCTCTAGGCAGTCGTCATTAAAATTCGAGGAAAGATATTATATTCAAATACATCTATCAATACAACACAAAAAATTGTATTATAAATTGGGCCGTCACGAATTATACTCTGTTTCCCCAGAGTTGTCAAGTGTCATTGTACCGTAAAATGTACCATTTACAGTCAGAAGACCTGACAGAACCTTGTGTTGTCGGTGGATGTAGTGCGCACATCGTAGTCTCACATTTCTCTCGTTCAAAACGCGTGTGGTGTTCGTGGTTCACATGTCGCCAAGGATGTGCTCCTTGCGGGAAACTGTTCAGCAACATGTGGCCTTGTCGTACAGTGCATCATGAATGGGCAGGATGCGCTGTGGTGGTTGAGCACTTGTTTTATGCACAAAGTCGATTTGCTTTCAAAGTCTTGTGCACAAAGTCGATTTTCTTTCAAAGTCTTGTGCACATGTCCTTTGCTCTCATGAGGAAATGTTGTACGTGACGTGATTCCACGGCGAACGCCCGTGCCAGCCGAGAGGCGGAGGCGTGGGAAGTACCAGGTCACTTTACCGTACAGTGTGGAAATTTCCTCGACTTGTTGCTCTCTACAATTCGCACAAAATCTGGGAGAGTCATTTTATTTATACTACAATTCAAATACAAATACCAAGTGAATCGTCTCCATTATATTTCTATTCTCTGCGCTCCCTTTCGCTTAGCCAAACGTCAAGTTTGTATGAGTTCGACGGCAACAGGAAGTCCATCCGCGACCGCCGCGGCGTCGAAGCACCCGACTGTGGAATGCGATGTCTGCATTGGCATGACGATGTACACGAGGTAAGGTGCGATATTACACGCGGGCTCATCTGTGCCGTGGCAGTGCCATGCGGGACGCTCGACAGAAGCCCATGTGCATTGGACTCAAGAGTACCAAGTGCGAGATCGATCAACAGGGCTTTGTGGAGGTACGTCTCGGTTAGACAACTACTCTGCGTCATTTAATGCGCATCACGACAGCTCCTGGAGAAGCGGCAACAAGAGGCTGGGTCGTCGTCTGCAACGAACACAGCTTCCATTCGATACGACGATCAACAAGCTCGACTTCACCACATTGAGGCGTTCCTTGCAACCCTATCTAACGTACGCTTCCTCCTATTATCACAGCACTTTGTCACGATGGGACTAGAAACCCCACCCGAAAGTTGACGCAACCGCCCATGACACTATCTATGCGCCTGAAAATGATACCTTCAGGTAGTCAAAATATTATACTCTACATTGGAGTGAATATTGCGATGGCTAGATACCTGTACTGGGGCATGACGCTATACTCCAACCCGGCACCCACCTCGCCAAACGCAGCTGCAGGCAATGCGAAGCTGGTGCTGCCACTTTGCGTCGGCATCAGTTACCTCCAGCGGTCAAAGCAGCCTGTTGCAGGAAGCGCGACGAGTCCTACGTTGCCCACCACGTCCCCCATCCAACGGTCCTCGCCCCTCGTCCTCGAACACGATGGCTCAGGGTACGTTGTGTGGGACATTCCCGATTGCGTGTGGTGGCCAACGGGCCGTTGCATGACATAGTTCATTGCATTTTCAACGTTTTCTCAAATAGACCAGGCATACTCGATAAAGCAGTCGCTGCGTGCAATTTTACCGCGATGGCGATGGTCAAGTATGCAAGCCACCAAGCGACAAATTTCCCCGAGCGGTACTTGCAGGTAGTCGATTACGTGGGGTGCCGATGGAACGGCGGAATCACGCACCGGTCGTAGTCGATGGAGCGCCTCGTTGACAACATGCAGGCGCAGTGGGATAGCATGTCAAAATTGGCGATTCGAATTGTGACGTTGGGCGGCAGCAAGAAGGACTCGTGAAGGGATCGTCGTCGCCCTGTTGTTGGGGCCCGTGAAATGAAGAAAAACACTGACGAAGAATGCACCCCCTGTTAACCCGAACGCCCCCGGCCACCTAGCTCGGTCGTGAAACCTATGTTCCTCAATTGTTATGTCATATTCAAGGCTTCGAAGAGCTCGGTTTTACCACAAATTGGCGCTAGCACCTCCGCTGTGCATCAGAGCCGTGTGCGCTTGTAGACAAGAAAGCAGGGCCGTACTCAAGTTCTGCGATGTGGTAACCCCACGATGGAGTGCATTGACAGGCTACGGCAATGGCACTAGGTATTACCGCAGCCTGTCAAAAACTAGCCAACCGCGTTCACAATTCCTCTGATTTGGTGCTGAGAGAGGTC